CCATAGACCCACACTTAGTAAAAATTCCTCGAGTTGCTTCCAGATGCCTTAACCTCCAATTGATGGTAACCATGTACAGTCCCTAAATTGGATAACGGGCCATCGATAGACTTTTGGGTAACTTTTCCACTGATTCTTAACAGGCTTCTTCATTTTAGTTTTGTACAACTTTAAAGCAAAACAAAGATAAAACATATTAAAATTACAACAAAAAGATTGTAGACATAGACCAATCTGAATGAAGAAAAATTAAAAGTATTGTGAGACCACGGTACATGAACACCCTCAAGTTAATTTCATTTTTTGTCCTCAAGCGATGCACTATGACTCAAAACAACACTTTTTACACAAATATCCTCTTTTAAAATCCCGCAATCACGTGGTTATCAATCCCAACTATTTTTTTCGTTGCTTTAGTTCCTATTTCTTTTCTTAGACATGATAGACTTACTTATATGAATCAGACTATGACACTGACTCACAATGCACTGACACCTCTACTATTTTCTCTCTAGGCAGGGTACAATCTTTCCGATATTGCAACTAGTGTCCTTACATAAAAAGATATCCCCCTTTTTCACATAGTGATTTTATCTTAGAGTATAAGATCACTTTTGAACACTAATGATCATAAAAATTCATACTTAGTTGGTACTTATCATCATAGGCTTGCCCTTATTTTCATAGCTTATGTTCAACATATTAGACTCTTAGGAGCATGATAGGACTTTCTTTTGTTGTAATGTCGGCTCAGGGTCAGGTATGGTACATATTGTTCCACATTAGTGACCTATTACCCTCCTTGACATTACGACTAAGCATCCTTTATCTTTCGTTATATATTAGGCCCCTCTTTACTTTTAATCTTTGCCTTATTTTCTCCTTTCTTTTGTCTTTTGTGGAAGTGACTCTTACTTCTTTTTGTTCAAAACTCTTTTTTTTATATTCAATTGACAATTTTGACTGAGCCACTATTGTTGTTCACTGTCCCTTTTCTTTTCCATATTACTCAATTTCATACCCACTCAACTTGTGGTTTTTCTATATGTCAAGGTACACATTACCCAAGGTTTGAATAGGGCCAAGACGAGGTCAGTGTCTACATTGGCCACCCTCAAATTTTTTTTTCCTAAGTTGAGGTTCAGATGTCCAAGTAGTGACCAGGGCAAACACATTATACATAGGGGAGTTGAGTTGGTGAAGAAAACAAAGGCGTAATAAAGGCTCAAACAATTTGGATAAAAAAGGTATAATAATTTCATTCTTCTCGCTTCACTTTAGGTTAGATGTTTTGTAATTTGAACAAGAGACTATGATGCTTTCTCAATTGTCTAACACAGATTCCTTTTGCAGGAGTAAACGGGCAAGATCTAGCTAGGTACCAACAGGGAACAATCAAATATCCTCACACTCTCTTTACACCTCAATACACTCTAAGTAGGGGCGCACTCACTAGTGCCCACAGTAGTATACGCACAGTTAGAGGTGTTTCTCGCAATAAACTCCACTCTAGAGCTAGACGCCCCAACATCTACCATATGAGCCCTCATCTGGCGGGTCTAATCATAAACCAAAGAGTCTCTTCTTGCAGCTTAAAAATCTGTTCGCTGCCTCTTCCTAGTGCATGCGTCATCTTCCTCATTTGTACGATTGGAACAGTGTCTCTTGGCACGCTCATGTGGCTTAGGAGGCGGTGCAATGGGAGCAGTGAATAATTTAGCAAGAACTATGTCCTCCACAAGCTCAACCGGTGCAATTACGGGCTCGGGTCACCTCATCTCGGGTATGGTACCAACATGTGCCCGCATGCTCGCCACAGGCTCCTGAAAAATAGTCAGATCAATGGTGCGGGATGGGAATGCTAGAACTAGTAGATCAAATGCATGCAGGCGCTGGTGGACTGCCTGAATCTTCTGCTCTGTCTTCTGAGCCACCTTCTTCTTAATCTGGTCCTCAGCCTCGAAAATCATGAAAAGTGCTACTGATGGTGGAGTAGACATGTAGAAACTAGGTTCCCTACTAGTGCCAGGGGCAGACTCAATAGGATTAGTGCCGGTGGGATCTGAAGATGCAGGTTCAGCTCCTTGTGTTTGATCTAACGTATTTGCCAAGTTCTCACTATGCAGCTACAAATCATATTTGGGACCTCACCGTGGTGGCGCCACATTTTTTTCATCTCTTATGAGACAGATATCCACAATCCCAATTTGAGTACGAAGGAGATCAGAGTTCCAAATGAGCACTCCAACATCCCTGTATAAATGGGAAATCATGCAGGCAACTCGATAAGTGATACACTCCTAGATAGCCCTCTCATGTATCACGGAGATCAATAACCTTGCAAAGCCGATCTCCAACCCGGCTACCAGTGTTGCTAGCACGACCGCTCTATCTCTGGTAAGGATATTATTTTCTGCCATGGGGGAAAGGATGTGTGGGACTAAAAACTAGAAGAACATGGCTGCAAGGGTGAGGTTAGACTTCTTGATAAGGCCTCTTGGTCTAACACCCACTCTGCTCCCTAATCGTCAATGGAGAGATGTTGTGCAATCCACCTCATGGTGGACTCTCTTTGATCTCTACTACGTTGAAACTCGCGACTCTTGACCAACTGCCACCTGTAGTCAAACTCAAGAGTGAGGGAAACCCTTATGATAGCAGTGGACCCACAATAAAGTAAATGTCGGATAGAAGAAGAAAAAATGTCCACCCGGTAGCTTCAAACTCAAACATCTATGAGTGGGTCATCTTTGGTCGGGTTCCACCACATGTCGAAAGAACCTCGGAGAGTCACTACGTATGGGGTGTAGAATTCCCGCATAATCTCTCGGTTATAACACCCCACAGTCCTAGCCACCCACTCAAGCGGGTGGCAGTGAAACAATTTATGCACTGCATGAATTATGTGTAGGCTCCCTATCAGAACACGCCCATCGACTTTAACTAACGAAGTCATCACCCTCTAATCATACAACACTTTTGCATCCTTGTGGCCAGGTTAATGTCCATCTATGCACCACCGGTTAGGCTCATTTAAAACTGGTACAGGGACCTGATACTAAGGTGACCGAGTAGAATCCCAATTATGAGCCTTATCAGATGAGGCATTTCGGGCAGGCAAATCTGCAAAAGTGACTCTTTGTGATCCGGAACAAGAGGTAGTGGGCGCATTAAACGTCTTGGAGTAGACCAACTCAGAACCTAAAGAATCCTTAGGGACAGATGCTCCCTCAGAACCTGGGTCATAACTAGACCGTGTTCCGGTCGGTGTGTTCTCCTCATTAGACTTGGTGGCAGTGACTACGTTAAATGCCACTTTCTTTGGGTGCCCCCGGTGACTCTATTTGCTGTTGTAGGGGTACAGGTTCTAGGGGGCACGTATTCTAGATCTTGTTCATCATCTGACTTGCCTATCAACCATCGAGAAAGAGCGACCTACATTGACCTACCCGTAGAATAAATGAGGTCTTGTTTTGGAGCCTTAAGTACCTCACAATCAAATTGTTAGTCTCAATGTAATAAATAAACACAAGCAACATAAGCAACACAAAATTTAAAAACCTTTTAGAGACCACTCAATTAGAAATGATGGACGTGCAGAATGGATCGTCGATCCATCAATGAACCATAGACTACTTCTATCGTCGGACATTTAGAATAATAAACTTTTTCATCAATCTAACTTACAGTATAAAATGAAAGATGTGCAGAAGGAACCTTCGATCAGATGATAGACTGTATTCCACGCCCTTCATTTCAATAATAAGAATATCTAAATGTTAGCCAACGACGGACCCCATCGACATGCCGTCGATCAATCGATTGTCCGTAGATGAGGTCTAGTTCTTTAGGTCTGAGATAGGATTTTAGGGCTTGGATTTGACCGCACATATTGACAATTTAAATCACATAAAAAGTTCACCCAAAATGTAATAACAAGCATAAGACCAATCTGTCATCCTTATGGCTTAGATTTTGCAAATTTAGACCATGGATTGTACGAGACTATTTATCCCTATGTTGGAAAATCAAATGTATATTGAATTACACAGATTCCACCCCCAACCCATTAAGTTTCTATCATTTTAAGGGAACTAGAACCCAATTTTAAAACCTTTAACATGCAATTTTGTCCATAAGTCAAGGACCTCATATAATCTATTTGTTTCCACAAGCAAATGAAGGAGAATTCATTAAGCAAAGGCAAATTATATACCTATAAACTGTAGTGAGTGAATGAGTGGGTGATCTTAAAGCACCAACCTACATACCCACCTTCAAAAACTAACTGGAGAACACACAAAGGACACGGAGTAGAAACTGGGGACTAAGTCTTTCGGGATTTCTTGGAGTTTTAGAGAATTGGGTCTCTAGAAGAAAATAGAAGGGAGTGATTGTGGGGGTTAATACAGAAAGAAGGGAATAAGGGGAGGGAAAACAGTTGGGAGGGACTTTCAAAAGATGTGGGGGGGGGGGGGGTAAATGAATAGGTATATTCTAATTCAGACGGTCGGGTCACCTCGCTCACTGGTTTTAGTGAATTCACGGTACCCCATTGATGTTCCGTAAGTCAGTCGACGGAACATCGACTAGACACTTAATTGTTCCTAAACATTACGAAAAATATCATGACATGCTTGGGATCTACAGACATAATCGATGGTCTTTCGATTGAACGACGGCCCGTTAGTTAGTCTGTAGATTTGTGCACCAAACCAAATTTTGTAGAAGTCTTGTGGTTTTGTCCTTGCACATTGAGCACCCATTAATCCATTCTTTTTTTTTTCTTGACATTTTTATGATACGGACCCTAAAGTACTCTCTAGCCAACACACTAAAAAAATAACACATGAAATTGAGTAAAACAAAACAAAATAAAAGAATGCAAATATTTCTACAAATAAAAGAAAAACCTATTGTTGGCACGAGGATACACATTGGTTTGCCTCCCAATAAGCGCTTGATTAAACGTCGCGGCACCACGCAAGATCCTTGATTACTCAAAAATAATCAAGGCGATATGATTCAACCACATCATGGACACTCTCCTCATGCCCTAAGTAGATCTTGATTCTTTGCCCATTTACTGTGAACCTTGCACCCCCCTTATTCTCCAACTCAACCGCTCTACGTGGGAACACTTTAGTGATCATGAATGGCCTAACGTATTTGGACTTGAGTTTTCCCCAAAACAAGCGCAATCTAAAGCTTAATAGAACAACGAAGTCTCTAATTGCAAATTTTCGCTTCTCAATCTTTTTGTCATGGTACTTCTTCATCTTATTTTTGTGGATGACTGAACTTTCATATGCTTTTTGGAGAAACTCATCGAGCTCATTCAACCCATTAAGTATCTGTTTCACTGCCTCATTTAAATCCATCTTTAGTTTCTTTGTGGCACACATGGCCTTGTTCTCTAACTCAACCAGCTTGTGAGACGCCTTCCCATATACAAGTTGTTATGGAAACATATCTATGGGGATCTTGTATGAAAAACGCTATGACCTAAGATCATCATCACGTCTCCTTGACAAATTCGTTGTATTAGAATTCACCGTTTTTGATAGGATCTGCTAGCTTTATCTGTTGGACACCTCCACTTGCGCATCTTTTTCTCGATTGTATGGAGTGGATACATTGTGGAGAATCCCATATTTCTCCAATATCCCCTTGAACAAATTGTTTCAAAAGTGAGATCCCCACTAATAATGTCCCTAGGTGTGCCAAATAATGAGAAGAGGTTATTTTTCAAGTACTCGATGACACTATTCTTTTCATTATTTGCAAGTGTTATGGCTTCCACCCATTATGACGCACAACCCACCTGCAGAAGAATGTATTTAATCCCATGAGAACTCACAGAAGATACCAAATTCCATGCCTCATACATCAAAGAACTCAATCACTAGAATGTGATTTAAAGGGAGGTCTTGCCTCTTCGAAACTCCTCTATCTCTTTCGCACCTATCACATGCCTTGGCAAACTTATGAGCGTCTTAGTGGAGTGTTGTCCAATTAAACACACACCGCAAAATCTTATAGGAAGTTCGGATTCCAATATGATGCCCACCCATAGGCGAAGAATGGCATGCCTAAAAAAAACGTAGCATCTACACTTCTAGCACACAATGATCAATAAGACCATAAGCACAACTCCTGTATAAGGAATGCTCATCCCAAAAGAATGTTATTACATTATGCATGACCTGTTTCTTCTGATGGAAGGAAAAAACCGATGGGACTATATTACTAGTCAAATACTTTGCATATTCGGCGAACCATGGAATCAAGACATGAGAAGAAGACAATACATGATCATCAGGGAAGGTATCATCAATTTCAACCTTTTCACCAACTCTCACATATCTTCATCCTCTAATCTGGACAAGTGCTCGGCAACTTGAGTTTCAGTCCCTTTTCTATCTTTCACGTCAAAATCAAAGTCCTGCAATAGTATCACCTATCTAATCAACCTTAGTTTTTCATCCTTATTTGCCATAAAATACCTCAATGTGGATTGTTATGTTTGCACTATAACTTTCGTGCCAAGGAAATATTAGCACAATTTTTGAAAGCATATACCACGGCAAGGAGCTCTTGTTCTATCACAGTGTATTTCTTTTGAGCTTCATTTCGGGCCTTACTAACAAAACAGATGGAATAATTGATTTTATCCATTCTTTGTCCCTTTACCACACCAAGGGCAACCACACTACAATCACACATCACCTTATATGTCTTACTCCAATCTGGGGGAATAATTATGAACGCAGACACCAACTTCTCTTTTAACTCTCCAAATACCTTCAGACAAGATTCATCAAATTATAATTTACATTCCTTATCAACTAACTTGCACAGTGAGAAATCCATAATAAACCTCTGGTAGAAGCATTCATGCCCAATAAAATAGCCTCTTTCACCATGAAGTGACATTTTTCTAATTTAGCATAAGGTTGTAATCTTCACATCTAGTGAGTACCTCGGCCAAGTAACTCAAACAACGATTAAAAGAGTCTCCTACAACTGAAAAGTAATCCGTAAATACTTCAATAGTGTCCTTCATCATATTAAATAATATCGACATCATACATCTCTGAAAAGTTGTAAGTGAATTACAAACCCAAAAGGCATCCTTCTGAATGCGAATGTCCCATAAAGGCAAGTAAAGGTGGTTTTATCTTGAACCTTTGTTGCAATAGAGATTTGATTGAAACCCCAATAACTATCAAGAAAATAGTACCATCATATTCCTACGAGTCTAATTTACATCTAATAAATGAATGGCATAGGGAAATGATCCTTTGAAGTCTATGCATTGTATTTTGGGTAATCCATACAAACTCTGCATCTGGTCATATGACTCATTGGAACAAGCTCGTTCTTCTCATTAGGACACACTATCATTCCCCCCTTTTTGAGCACACACTAAGTAGGTCATACCCAAGTACTATCAGGGATAGGGTATATGACTCGGGCATCCATCCACTTAATAATCTCCATCTTAACTACCTTTTTCATAGGTGGATTAAAACGTGTATCAGACATGATTTGGATTCTGTGTGAACAAACACAAGGTGGGATCCAAATAATGTCTATAATAGTCTAACCAATTGCTTCTTAACCTCTTTAACATCTGTACCTGACACTCTACTTGTTCTATAATCATATTTGATGCAATTATCACTGACAAAGTTTCATATCTTCCCAAGAATACATACCTCGGATGAGCTGGTAGAGTCTTGAGCTTGAATTTTTGGGCCTCCTCAATAGATGTTTTTGTGGCGGGAAACTCGCAATGCTTCATATGTAACTCAAACTTTATTGTGTGAATAAAAGTTTACCTCTATAAAGAGCCGCAACCAAAGACCCATACCCTTCAATACTATCACTCGAGTAGTGATTGCCATGAAATGACCATAATTTTTCTAATTTTTAATGGTATTTGTATTAAGAGTACCAGGTTGATGTGGGTTCCCAGTAGTAATAAATTGAGCCATTTGCAACTCAAGATGCTCGATTGATAGTTGAGACTACATGTACATACACCTTTTGCTCGATATTAGACAAACCAACTATCAACTCCTTGGCATGCTCATCACTCTTGAAACCTCCTCTTCATCTTTTGTAACATATTGTCAACTCGCACAGTACTATCTCCAACATCCCTAGTAGAAACTTACAAATTCTTAGGCGGAACATAGGGCCGACTTCGGTCGTTCTTGTTACCTAGCAAACCCGGTCGAAGTTATTTTTGCAGTATTAGTTTCCATCTTGAACATTCCCACTCAGTTTTAATTCTCATAGTTCTGATAGTGATTTCCTTGACCTTCGCGCGAAGTTTCCTGATTGGAGCCTTGGTCGTTCCATCAAGAAAACCCACGTCTTCTAATACACTTCATATGAATCCTCTTCATATTAGTAGTCATCCCTTAGTTTTGGTGGTTTAATCAAACAATACACCGTATTTACATTCTCTACACTTCTAGTGACATGTTTCAATACCAATCCGAACTCAGCTCTTATTTGAGCCATATCTTCACTAATTTTATCTACGACTTGATTATGTGTAGCTTGTACTACTAAGGTGTTTCTCCTAGTCTCCGACTTCCTAGTGCTGCAAGACTTATTATTGTGAAAGAATTTCTCAAACTTTTCCGCGATCTATGCATATGTGAACTAACCATAAGACCCACCCGCAAAAGTATCAAGCACTACCTTATTGTTATCATATTGCCCCCATAGAAGTACTCTTTCAACGACACAACGACTATCAAGGCAACACCACAAATGTTCACTCTATCTATATGGTTGAGCTTTTTAGACCCGTGTAGTACCGTGCTTAGAACTCATCCTTCAAAAGGTCCCATGTATAGACAAAATTATAGGACAACTCTGTGAACTATATTGCAACCTCTCCAGTCAGTAAGAGAGAGAAAACATTTAACCCGATGACGTCCATGTCCATGTCTGTACTCCATAGACAACTCTTACACATAGACCACATTTTTGCGAAGTAAGAATGTTGATCCTCAGATGGTAGCCCTAAAAACAAAACTCTAATAGTAAGCATCTGCATCAAGATACTAGTTACGACGAATGTGTGACCCTGTGATAGAAGAGGTAGGACAAGTGTCCCATCGGAGTAATTTATGTTAATGTTGCCCCTATAGAAATCTTGAGCGCATGGGACGGGAGGTTTCCTCCTCTAAGAACCATTACCAGGGTTCTCCAGAATCACTTGGTTGCGAGCATCAACCGGTGAAGGAAGATGACGGTTGATCCCATCCCCTAGATTTGCGGGATTCTAATTTTCAATCATTCTGTGGAGTTTCTGGTTAAATTCAAGATCGAATGGTTCTCCTTGGCGGTGTGTACTTTTCATAGACTAGATCTAGACATGTGACAAACAAATAAAATCAAAAAATGAAAAATTACAAATTTTATTGACTAAAACTTAGTATTTGTTATCAAAGATAATCTAAAAGGTTGGGGTCAACTCCACAAGGAAAATCATTAAGACTTAACTTAAATGAATGATTACTTGTATTTAGTCAAGTCCTTTCTGAAAACTAGTAATAAAAGGTTTTTTAGAAATAAAAGTATTGTAATATTGCAAACTCAAACAAGTATAAACAGTGAATTATTTGTGTTTATCAAGTTATGAGTGAAACTAAGGTGTAAGTGTTCCTCATAGGTTAATAACGTCATAATCCTATCAATAAAAATTCTTCCCTTGTATTTTTAAGTCAATGTGATAGGTTATGTATCTCTAAATCCTTGGTCTAACATTACATAATTTCACCCCATACATTAATCATGTTACGTGTTTCTAAGTTAATAACTCTTACCTTTACTTCATATTGATCGTCATATTTGATGTATGCCTTAGTTATTGCTTTGCACCAATTGAAACTAGCCTTGGTCCGGCAAGTACAAATAAGGCTAGTTCCAACACATGAACTTGTTAAAAAGAGTTCTAAATATAGGAATTACCAATGCACACAAAAAACAAATTTGTGAATTATTACTTATTTAGGTTATTTTGATAATCACCCATTGATCCCACAACCCTAGTTGTGGATGTACTTACCCATGATTTGAAGAACACAATTCATAATTGATAAATAATATATCGTGAACTTACTTTGACAAATTCGATGAAAACATAGAAATTTAACTTGAAATCACACAATCATATTATAAACCGAATTCGGAAATATAAATTAATGCCTATGTTTAAAAAACAAATCTGTAAGAAGAAAAGTAATAACTTAGTAAGAGAATCCACCCCAAAAATGAGGTTTTACACTCTATTTATAAAATAATAAAGTCCTCATTAAAAGTAGTTCAAATAAGAATAGTTTTTCAAAAATGCGAC